TTCGTGCATTTGCTTTTCAAAACAAAATATCACAACTATTCATCAAATGAATAAATTATAATAAAATAAATAAAAATGCATGCTATTTATTACTTCAATCGATTTAGATGATCTTCTATCAATGATGTAAAACAAATGAAAATACTTGGTAGTCTTTATGATCTACAGCGGCAACTTGAAAAAAGCACAATAATCCAAATGGATAAGAATAGAATGTTATTTATTAAATTGTTCATTACCATATAATCATAGATTCCCGTTCTTTCTCATAAACGACTATTGTTCATATTCCATCTCGGAATATAGAACTAGAGAATAATATTCAATCACATCCATAGAATATAAATGTTTAGAATGTTACTTTGTTGTCAAGATCAGTTGTTTTTTCGCATACATTCAATTTAATCGATCTGTTTCTATATCTCACAGTATCCTCTGTGAAACACCTAAGTGTGGTAGCCATTAAATATTGAGAAATCATCCTAAGACGTCTTATCATATAATTTCTCTCTTACTCTGAATCCGAGATCAGATGACTTTAATTAACTTTTCTACATTATAAAATAAATTATAATTCATCATATCTTGAATATATCTGAATTGAACAACACATCATAAATAAATGATTATTCTTTTCATTTCTTTCTTATTAATGATGAATACTCATTGATTAATTCAACTAGATTATGTTTTGATAACATATCGGTATCTGTATTGCAATTTTTTCTCATCATACGAGGCCTCGTTCAACACTAACAATTGAATTCCATGCACGTTATTCTTCTTTTATTACAAGGAACACTCTCGTAATGAATTAGAAATGTAAATGTCTTAGAAGGTCATTTATACACATACATATATGTATGTGTATTACCTTATCAGTCGGATTTGTTCATTACGTTTTTATTATTTACAGAGTTGTTCTCCGTGGGCGCGCGCTAGTCACTACAAACTAGAATTAATTCAAAAATAAGTGAACAAAACATTCTTTTATTTAGTTATCAACTACTCTTTATAATTTCTTTCTTTACAATTTCGATACCGTCTTTTACATTTTGAATATTAGGATGAGTTGGAGGTAATGCACGTTGTAATATGTCCAGAGCACGTTCTAAATATGAAAGTGCTTTCGAATACTCTTTCATATTGTTATAAACACCACCAATGTTGGTGTATGAAGTAGCCAAATCAGGTTGATTTGAAGGAACAGCTTTTTCTCGGATTTCAAGTGATTTTTCGTGAGATGAAAGTGCTTTCGAGTACGCTCCTATCAGATTATACACATTACCGATGTTGCTGCATAAAGTAGCCAATGAAGGATGATTTGAAGAAAGAGTTTTTTGAAAGATTTCAAGTGCTTTTTCATAATATGAAAGCGCTTTCGAATATTCTCTCATCTTGGTATACACTAAACCGATGTTGTTGTATGAAGTACCCAAATCAGGATGATTTGAAGGAAGAGTTTTTTGCCAAATTTCAAGTGCTTTTTCGTGAGATGAAAGGGCTTTCGAGCACTCTCTCATCTTGTCATACACTAAACCGATATTGTTGTATGAAGTAGCCAATGAAGGATGATTTGAAGGAAGAGTTTTTTGAAAGATTTCAAGTGCTTTTTCGTAATATGAAAGTGCTTTCGGGTATTCTCCCATGTTGTCATACACACCACCGATATTGTTGTATGAACTAGCCAAATCAGGATGATTTGAAGGAAGAGCTTTTTCTCGAATTTCAAGTGCTTGTTCGTAATACCAAATAGCCTTTTCATAATCACCTTGATTCGAATGCACTGATCCCAGCTGATTATGATAATGCGCTTTTTCACTCTCCTCAGATGTCTGTTCGAGTAATACATTATAAAGTTCTTTAGCTTTATTAAATTGGCCAATTTTCAGCAATAAGTCACCCAATCTTTGCCATCCAGTACTACCACCAGCGTCTTCTCGCATCCGATCAGTAAGTAATCGTAGTTGTTGATCATCATCTGATGTTAATTGTAATTCAACTTGATAAAGTTGATTCTTATTGTCCATTTGTTTAATTACATTCACCCGAAATACGGTGTGCATTGAGAAAAGAATTTCTTCTTCTTCCTTAAAATAACTCTCTTCTTTGATGGAGGCAAACGGTGTTGATTTCAAGCAAGGATCAATGGACATAACAAAGAGAATGCCAACCATATTCGGTTTTGATGAAGCACGTCCAGCAAAGTCAAAGGACACTTCTTTATCTTTACTCGTGGACAAGAAGTTATTAAATGACATAAGACCACCTTTTGCTTTCTGAAGTTTTTCAAAGTCTGATTTCATAAGACCTTGTCCTCGATAAACTAGAAAAGGTTTTCGCCCATGATTACTGACCTGTTGTTCATGCAGTTGTTGAATTTGTTGATGTACATCACGTAGGAAGAAGCCCATATTAATGATTATATCGGCATCCATATTTCGAAGTGCTCGATTGAGCATTTTGTAGGTAAAACACTCACGTGTATACCACCATATTGCTTTTTGTGGACGATAGTCACGTTCGAATTCTTTAATTACTTGTAGTTCAGTTGGATTGCCGGTAAAAACTTCGTGGCAACAAACTGCTAAGTTTTTGAGCGCCTTACCATCGTATTCGATATCAAGGAGGATCTCTTTGAACAGTTGGGTATACATAAAAGTTGGCTCCAACTGATTTAAATTCTCAGTTGAAGTCATTTCATTTGCCGTAAGAAAACTTACGGCAATGGTGTCTTGGTCACATTGTTTAACCGCCATTTGTAATGCTTGACAAATGTCTTTGATATTTGTATGGACACCTTTAATTTTTGTCCAATTTTGTGCCTATCCGTCATGGCTGGATTTGTTGCCACAGAAGATATAAATGGCATCTAGCTGTGATATGCCATGAGTTTTAGGAACCAAATGTTGGCCTAATGAGCCTGATGTTATCACGAAGACGTGTTCCTTGTCAACTTTATTGAGTGCTTCGATGCATTGATCCGATTCCGTGCATAAGTTGACATCATTGATGACATTTTTCAATTGAGCCAATGTATTGTGGCAGTCCTCGTCTGCTTCGTCAATGCTGGCATCTACCCAGATGAGAAGGTAATTTTGTGCCATACGTTGTCGTGGTTGCCGAATATTTGATGATGCAGCTGCATTTTGATTTGAATCTGATCCGCTCATTCTGATCTTGTGATAATTTGTTGTCGAATATGAATCATGTCAGTATACTTTGTTGTTGGAATGAAAAGAAAGATCACTGTTCTTCTTTATATAGGCAGTGACTTGTTTTTCTCGATTTTTCGGCGATTTCGAATGTTTGTATGTTTTTGTTGTCGCTCAAAGACAAGTTCCATCTAGTTACGTGCAAGATAATATTGTGCAAAGCAAAAAACAAATCAAAACAAACAAATTTGTTGGTCATATTATTGAAAGAACGAACAAAACAAAAGCAAACAAATCAATTCATTTTATTATTATTCTTTCCAATTATTCTTGCTTCTGTCTACATCATTACTGCAGCTTGCTGATGTGTAGGCGACATTTTTTTCATCGAATATAGAAAGAAAGAAAAATGCAATTCTTTCAGCGAATTAATTTTTCTGTTACACCGTTCACCAAACATCATATTATAGTGTTTGATAAATTTACGATGGCAAAGTCTATGAAAGAAGCTTTGTAGTATTTTGTACATAGAGCATGCTTTAAATATTATGCCAAGGAATTGAAGAAACTGTTAGCTTAATACAAAAGATGAGATATCAATGAAAATTTGATTAACGAATCATCTACAATCCGATAATTAAATTGTAAATTAGTATCACCGGTATTTCAACAGTATGTAAATTTGGCTGCATTCTAGTATAGTCGCGAATGCTAAGATTTTTTTGAAAACCTCAGAGTCGTTATTTCGAAATCCAAGTTCGCATCGAATTTCACAGACGGGTCTCGACTCATTGCCATCTGGTTGTAGCTTTGTAACGTTAATATATCGAGATCTGTAGTTTTCACCACTCGAAAGAGGAAACAACGGGACATACACATGTCGAAAAAGTAAAATTCTCTCAGTTGTTTTTCATGCTAGTTTTCGCAGACAAAATCTGGGGAAAATTAGGAAGTCCTCCAAAAAAAATATTCCTTAAGTTTACAAAATCTATCTTTAGTAAAAAGTTATAGGCATATCATTTAAAGATATAAGACAACGTTTTATATTGAAATGGAACAGATTTATTTACAATAAAAACAAATAATGGTTCGATTAAATAACGTTTCATTAATCACTATAATCGAGCTGATTCTTTTTGTCGAGTAGAATTACACTGTTGATCTTTAATCATTTTTCTAACATTTTCTAAAATAACTTTACTTTTCGCTGATGATTTAATATCATTTGATGTTTTTTTATTCTCTTTACTTAAATCATAAATTTCATTACATGATTGATGTTTTGAATTCTTCTTATGTTGATTAGAATCACTATCTATTGATAATGTTGTATGTGTAATAGTTTTATCATGATTTTCTTCTTGAATATCATTAATAGTTTTTGGTAATGGTGATGGTGTTTTAACTTGTTTAGATTTTAAAGATGATTGAGTTGAATTATTTTTAATCGTTCCTTTTAATTTTCTATGTAATAAAAATTAGAAATCAATTCATTAATAGACCTACTTTTTTTTTGACTTACGTTTCTTGATCAGGTATATTTGTTGTTGTTACACGAACACTTCCGACATGTCGTATAAATACTTTATTTACTTCTGCTTCACGTTGTTTTTCATGTATTGGAAATGATTTTGATTTACGTCGTGATAAACAACATATAGATGAACATCGACAACATGATCGAGGCATCAGTAAAATAAAAAAAATGTATTTATGTTATCTTATCTTTCTTGTTTTTGAATAAGATTGATGTAATACAATTAACGAAAGAATTTTTATAAGCTTACGAACGAAAAGATCAAATGAGAAGAAAAGAATTTTATTGACATAGCATAGTCATTTATTTTAAAAAGAACACTTTATATATGGGAAGTTTTTTTGTTCAACTTGAGTTAAAAATCGATAAGTAATTGTTGTTTTATCAGGTGAACCAGTTATAGATACTGTTGCATTAAAATCAGATGGACGTTTTAAATCAGAAGTTGATGCACGTAAAGTCAACGACATATCACCAGTAATTGGTGGATCAATTCGAACTATAGAACATCG